CATTCCCCTGAATTGGCAAAGGGTGGAACAAATTTAAAGAGTGATAAAGTTATTTGAATTAGAATAGGAAAGAAAATTTTGTTTATTTTAATCATAAAAGGTAATCATTAAATAATGATTTGATGTAATCATTGGCAAACAACCATGTTTGCATATATGGAATCTGCAAAATCCCATGGCCATTATTTACTAAAATAATGTTTTGTTTTCGTTGGTTAAGTTACAGTTAATTTATTTATCGTCTTAAACTTTTTCTTTTATTTTTTATTGAATTATTCTTTTATTTAACTTTCATATAGTAATACTCCTCGAAGTATATGGGTATAGCTAACCAATTTTTGGTGGTATCGTGTTACATGAGTATCCTTAAATTCATAATATTTATAGGAGTTGAGGCTTAACACTAGGCTTGAAATTTAGCAATATGGAATCTTTGACATATAATTTATAACAAGAGTAAGAGCTGATTGGATATATGAGTGAGCTTTCGAGTTTAGGTTAGACATATAATAAATTGAGTACCTATGAACTCGCTTACTTACGAATATTGCATAATTGGTAGATTGGGAACGTTCTGAAACTTTGCGAAAAGGAAAGAAAAAAAAATCTTGAAGGATTGTGGCACGAGATTCGGCATTTAAGGTATGTTAAGACTTTTAGACTAGTTGAAGGATGTTTTCCTAATTAAAGATTTTAAAAGAAAATGAAAATAGACAAAGGGGTAAGGGAGAAAGATGGGGGTCTCGTATCAATGGTGTGACGGGCATTGGTACGAGTGCCGGTGTTATGAAACGGAAAATTTCTACTGTATAATGCGGATTTTAATTTGAGAATTTCCAAAGCATATGGGCATTAACTAATATATTATTAACTTGAAATTTTTGTGTGATTTGTTTTCATTATTACACCCGTATAATTGTGATAATTGAGGTGGTTATGTATTATGTTGATATTAATTGAGTAAGATGCATCGTTATCCCCTTATATTGAAATAATATTGTATACATGCATTGACATGAGACTGAGTATGGTGAGATGTTAAGATTGTAATTTGGACACGTGGAGACCGTCCGTGCGGAAATTATTTGATATTATGATGGTGCGTTGAGATCGTCCGCACAGACACGTGGAGATCGTCCGTGTCGGTATATGGACCTCGCAAGTCCCCCATGGGACATGAACTCTCGATGTATTTCCGAGGAGTATCATGTATATACGGTTGAGTGAGTACTGGATATTCTGAGACATATCATTACATGGCATCATATTGCATTGCATTTCATCCCATCATTCATTCTTGATGACTATATGTTTCGTTTGGTGTTTGAAAAATATTAAATGTTGATTTCCTTTATTGATGAAACTTAAATAGTAAGTGTAATATATATATATACTTGTACAATCTAAGAATTTATTTTCTTATATAACTCCCGTCACTACTTCTTCGTTGTCGGTCAATGAGACATACTGGATACACGTGGTTTCGTACTCATACTACGCTTGTTGCATTCTTTGTGGTGCAGATTCGATTCAGAGTAGGAGCACATCTCGTGGAGCAAATTGAGTCCGGCTTGAAGTTCTTGGAGTTGTGGTGAGCTGCTTGGCTGTTCCGTGGCCCACACCTCCCTCTATCTTTTATTTATTCTGTTATTAGTATTCAAACAGGATATCCCTTATGCTAGATTTGTCATTTAGTTTCAGACTTTCTTCGAATTATAGAAGATCTTGTACTTAAGACACCAATTCTTGGGATGATATATTTTATCTTCCGCATTTCGTACTTATAAGGAACTCAATGTTGGAGATTCTTGCTAAGCGTTGGTCTTTTTTTTACTCATTTGTTGGTTTAGTTGGGTTAATATGTTGGGTTGGCTTACCTAATGGTTGGGAACATAGGTGCCATCACGACTTGCAAAATTTGGGTTGCTATGGACTTTTTCTATTAATTGTTATTAGATTCAATGTTGCTATGGACTTTTTCTAGGGACATTTATAATTGCCTCTAAAGATCATTTTTGTCGTAGTGATAACTCTTTCTATTGATAAAGTTTTTTTTATAAAGAAGTAATAGCTCTTCGTTTTGGCTTTTTTCAATTAAAATTGTAAACTGTAAACTTGGATACAAACTGACAGATTATATTTTTGTAAAATATGTTAAGCGACGTATCTTTTCTTCTTGATTGATAGGAATGTCATGTTGTTTTATAATTATCTGTCGATATTTGTGAGTTCAAGTACTCAGATAATTATGCTTTGAGATTTTAATTTGTTATGTGTAAAAGTTTTGGTTTAGAATATCAAGTTATGAATGATGTCGCCTACTGCTTGATTGATAATGACATCAATTAGTTGTAACTGCATAATAAAACCATAACAATAACTATGGTTTAGTTCCAACTAAGTTGGGCTGGTGATATGAAACCTAAGCAATAGTAATGACTATTCTGTGACGATGAGAAATAACATTTATGTTACTAACAATTTTATTGTCATAAGAAAGGAGCCGAATGTCCTCCATTTGAATTAGTTAATTATGCTCTTGTATGGATGTGATGTTCCATTTTACTTGGGAGTATTGTTGTTCGAGGCTTTTTGGTCTCTTCTTTAACATCTGATGTTTTTTTTAAGTCTTGGAATTTAGAAAATCTCATTACTTCTGACCAACTATTTTCATGGAGATTTCTTACACTTCTTTCTTATACTTAAAATATCTCTATGATTCATAATTTTTGTATAAAAAATCAAAAAATAAAAACACAAAATAGTACTTTTGAGTTTTGGGATTGCCTTAAGATAAAATGATCTTAACAATGTAGTGTATATATCGAGAATCTGAATATTATCAAATGATCAATATGAGCTTAGTAATATAGGTCAATCCCGTACGAAACACGGGTAATTTACCTAGTTATATTAAAATTCAAACCATTCTCAAATTTTTATTTTGTTACATTAAAAAAAATTTGAATTTGGTTCGAGCAAAAGCAATACATAAAACAATTGCACAAACACTTACCAAACTAATGTGTTTACACATATCGACAGGAAAAACTGAATTTTGTTTCATTTTAAGAATACTATTCAATTATATTAAACAATAAGAAAGAATTCTAAATTAGTTTCGAGCAAAACAATACATAAAATAATTGCACAAGAAACTTGTCCAATTTATGTGTTTACACGTATTGAGGAAAGAAAAGAGAATGTTGTTTCATTTTAAGATTAGAATTCAACTATATTAAAAAGCTAATCTTTCTAAAATTTGTTTTTATTACATTAAAAAAAATTCAAATTAGTTTCGAGCAAAAGCAATACAAACAAAATAATGCAATTAAAATCTAGCTGAATCTTCTATCCTTAGCCGTATACGAAAGGAAGTTATTATCTTCAAAGGTCACTCAACTTTGAAACATAATCTAGTAAAATCATTTAACTTTAGTATGTGTCAAGAAAATTACTCAACTTTCACACATTTGTATAAATAAAATCACTCTTAATGCTTGTTTGACTTGCCTACCACAAAATACCCTTAAATAATTGTGAATTTTGTCATTTTCTTTCTTTTTTTCTTGCACAATTCTCGTCAAAGCTAGTGAACTAAGTAAATGAATTAATTTTTAACAAACATGATAATCAAAACAGTTCTATTCGTACTAACCAAAGACTATTCAAGTCAATAATTTGTCAATCTATGAAGAGATCCAACACATTTAAGCCGCACTTCACAATATCCTTTATTTTCTTATTTGGGTCTATGAATTTTTATCTTTTTTTTAAAAAAAAAAAAATTGTAACTAAATTAATCATAAGCAAACAAAAAAATATTAATTCCATATATATATATATATATATATATATATATATAAACAATTTTTTTGAAGCATTTGAATATAACGAAGAAACAAATACGCCCTTCAATAGTTAAACCACATAAATAAAAAATCTTAGCTAAGCGAAAAATTTCAACCTGCCTAGCAATATTTGCATTAAATATCTTCTCTACTTTCTCAAGAAAATAAAATCTTCTCCCCTAAATATTCATTCATCATCATTTTGTTTTTATTTATCTATCATGATTATAAATTTTGGCAACTATACAACTCGATTAAGGATGTTAAAATAAAAACATAAATGAAGGAAACTAATTTATTTAGTTTTTGTTATAATATTCTCACACTTTAATTAACCACACAAAAACTACACTATATCAAAAAATAATTTTTAGTGGCAATTAATTAACAATAATAACTCAATTATCGCTATGTATATAATTTTAGCGGCAACGATCACACTTTGTATATATCCCTAAAGACTTTAGGGACATTAAATCTGATAACTCTGAACAAATGTAATGCTTAGAAATTTATTTTGAAAATGAAGTGCAGACAAATCTACTTATAATTAAACGCTTACAAGCATGATTCGATTAAAGGAGATGGCAATAATTGGATTGATCAGGGAGGCTCTATTGCCTGATAAATTAGATACATGAAGTATTTTCTATGATAGATATGAAGAATAGCTTTAATTAACCTTCGATGTGAAAAAACTAGACAACGCATATTCAGTAAAAAAAAATTACAATGTTTATGACAAAGCCAGAAATTAGAGTTGGAAGTATAAATATACTAGAATAAGATTGATCTTAATAGACTTATAAAAGAGTGTAAATAGCAGACATTGATTATATATCCTCATAAGTTGTTGTCGTGGTGGTGATTTGGATCTTGTACATTAATGTTGAATGATGTATCATCAAGAAAAGTCATTAGCTCATCATCATTCAAACTCAGCAAATCAGAAAATGAAGGACTCCGTGGAATCCCTAGTGATTCATCATTATTGTTACCCGTTGGTGTTGATGAACTTATTGGGGGGATATTGATCAAAGGGTCTATTTGTGGTGCCGATTGAGTAAAAACTAAATTAGAGATTGGAGGAGTAATCGTCGGTGAAGGCGTTGGATAAGCTATTGTTGTTGGAAGGATTGGATAAGGCATTTAAGGATACCTTTGTGAAGATAACAAAAAAGGAACCCGTGAAAGATCCACATGTGGAACCATTCGAGAAGGATTGTTCAAAGGGAACATGAATTGTAGCATTTGAGAAGGAGCATTTGAAGGAATCATCGATGGTGGACTTAGATTAAGAGGAGCCCTTGGCCCGTCAAAGTTGATCCCACTAGGTATAGTAGATGAAACCAAAAGAGGAATCTTGGATAGTACTGGAGAATCAATTTGGACCAGAAGAGGATCCCACTGCATGTCGAAGCTGGTCCCACCAGAATTGATCGGTGCATCAATAGGTAGAGGAGCATTTGATGTCGAACCTTCTTTGTTAGTTTTTACTTTGATCCCATCATTTATCAGCTTGAGGTGCTTATTAATCACATAACAGAGATCGTTGAAATATTCTGGGAGCCTATTATTGGGCATCTCTTCACCATTCAACAATCCATACATCTGGTTTGTATACTCCATTTTCTTGTTTTCCATCCTTACCTTCTCAAGTTCCTTCTCAATTTTCTCGATCCTTTTCTCAGTTATCATTTCATATGTTTTCATGTTTTTTGATCTCTTCTCCTCTGGAAGATCAATAAACTTTGTAAAGAGGCTTGTAGCAACTTCATGATTTGGAAACACCTCTGGTGCATCATGATAATCGCTATTGACTAAGGTAGTCAATTCAACATCGTAAAGGGTGTTGAGTTCACGAGCCTTTGTTAAAAATCCCTTAGTCATTTTCTATATGAGACTCTCCTCTCATTGCGATTTTCCATGAAAGCCAACTTTACTTTCTTTAAAACCATGGCTAAAAATGAGGAAGAGGAGAAGATCTTTATTTATTAGGATATGAGGGATGAAATTGATTTATATTGTTACTGTTGTTGTATGTTGCTTTGCTAAGAATTGTCTTCTATTAATAAGTACAAATAATTTTTTAAATAATTTGAATTAGAATATACTTAGTTGTCATGTGTACAATTTTGGCATAAAAATAAATGATGGTATATTTGATATCAAATTAGATTCCATAATCTTGAGATTAATATAGTTAAAACTCATATTGAACAAATCTTTTTTAGTCAAAATTTTCTTATTAGGAAAAAAGTTAATTGATTTAGATTTAAGAAAGTATAATGTATGAAAGAAAAACTAACTATAGACTATTAACAAATATTTTTTTAAAGAAATTTTAAAAAATTGTATATTTTAATTTATGAATTTAAAGGATAAATATTGAAAAAAAATAAAAATTTGACATATTGGCAAAAAATATTGAAATATTAATCTTTAAAATATTTGAATAATATAATAAAAATTAGTTTATTTATCAATAAAAGTGAAATATTTATTGAATATTAAATGAAGATACTTGTATGATTATTGCCATTGCAATGCTTATGATAGCATATTATTAATTTTTTCCAATTTTTGAAGAGACCATATTTTGTAGAAATTTTATATTTATAGATTATATTAAAAATCAAATCATGCTTAAATTATAAATTTCTTACATTTAAAAAATTCTAAATGAGTTTCGAGGCATATTAGTACATAAATACTTGCACAAGACACTTACCAAACTAATGTGATCACACATATTGAAAAAATAATTAAGTGTTTGTTTCATTTTAAGAATAACATTCAATTATATTAAAATATAATTATTCTCAAATTTTATTTTGTCACATTAAAAAAATTCTAAATTTGGTTCGAGTAAAAGCAATACATAATATAATTGCACAAAACACTTACAAAACTGATGTGTTTATACATATTGAGGGGAAAAAGTGAATTTTGTTTCATTTTAGAAATACTATTCAATAAAGTTAAACAATAACAAAGAATTCTAAATTAGTTTCTAGTAAAACAATACATAATATAAGTGCACAAGAAACTTGTCCAATTTATGTGTTTAGATATATTGAGGAAAGAAAAAAGAATTTTGTTTCATTTTAAGATTAGTATTCAACTATATATAAAATCAAATCATTCTAAAATATGTTTTCGTTACATTAAAAAATATTTCAAATTAATTTCGAGCAAAAGTATTAATTACAAAATATTACAATTTAAGTCTAGCTGAATCTTCTATCCTTAACCATATACAAAAGCAAGTTAATATCTTCGAAGGTCACTCAACTTTGAAAAATTATCTAGAAAAATTATTAAACTTTATTTTTTATCAATAAAATCAATCAACTTCCGCATTTGTATCAATAAAATTACTCTCAATGCTTGTTGGACTTGCCTACCACAAAATACCCTTAAGTTATTGTGAATTTCGTTATCTTCTTTCTTTTCAATTCTCGTCAAAGCTAGTAAACTGACTAAATGAATTAATTTTAACAAACATAAAAGTCAAAACAATTTTATTCATACTAATTAAATACTTTCAAGTTAATAATTTGCGATCTATGAAGAGATCCGATTCGATCTACAAAGACCGTCTCCTAAACAAGTCAAATAAAGTTCTTATATATTATTCATAATTTTAATCCAACATATTTTAGCTGAACTTCACACTAGACTAAGAGGAGCCCTTGGCCTCTCAAAGTTTGTCCCACTAGGTATAGTATATGAAACCAAAAGAGGAATCTCGGATAGTACTGGAGCATCAACAGGGACCAGAAGACAAGCCCATTGCATGTCAAAACTTATCCCACCTGAATCCACTGGTGCATCAATAGGATAAGGAGTATTTGATGTAGAACCTTCTTCGTGAGTTTTTGCTTTGATCCCATTGTTTATTTGTTTGAGGTGTTTATTAATCGCATAACATAGATTGTTGAGATCTTCTGGGAGCCTCTTATTGGGAATCTCTTAACCATTCAACAATCCATACATCTACTTTCTATACTCTATTTTCTTGTTTTCCTTCCTTACCTTCTCAAGTTCCTTCTCAATTTTCTCGATTATTATTTCATGTGTTTTCATGTTTTTTGATATCTTGTTCTCTGGAAGATCGATAAACTTTGTAAAGAGGCTGGTCGCAACTTCATAATTTGAAAACACCTCACGTTCATCATGGTAAGATATATTAACTAAGGTAGCCAATTCAACATTGTAAAGGTTGTTGAGTTCACTAGCCTTGGTTAGAAATCCCTTTAGTTGTTTTCTATATGAGACTCTCCTCTAAGTGCAATTTTTCATGAAAGCCAACTTCACTTTCTTTCTAACCATGGCTAAAAATGAGGAAGAGGTGAAGAACTTTATTTATTAGGATATGAGGGATGAAATTGATATAATATTGTTACTGTTGTTGTGTGGTGTTTTGCTAAGAATTATCTTTTATTTATAGATTCAAATAATTTTTAAATAATTTGAATTAGAGAATACTTATTTGTCACATGTACTATTTTGGCATAAAAATAAATTAGGGTATATTTGATCTCAACTTAGATTCCATCATATTGTTTGAAAAGTTTGGAAAAAAAACTTGAAAGGAGTGTACAGACGTTCAACTTGAGTTATGATGATAAGGTATTTGTAGTTTTGAATTTGATAATAAGTGTTGTTGGCTTATTAGATGAGGATATAATAAGCTCGATGAAGAGGCGATAAATAATAATCTAAGATATATTAATTCATAAATATCTTCAATGTATGAGTTAATGTTGATATACAATGGGATTGAGTTATAAAGTTGGAATCAAAATGAAAGGTTTTCATTGCAATTCGACGTTTCTGGTAATATCCTTTGTTAAGGTATGAATTGGTGAAGGGTAAGAAATGATTGATCACATTGAGTAGAAGCATATCGAAGGACTTAAAAATAATTTAATTAGTAAATTTGGTTACTTTTGATTGTTATACCCAAATGGGTTTCACGTAATGTTTCAATTTAGAGGATAAGGTAAAAATATTGTCACAACCCAAATCGGGCCGCGACTGGCACCCACACTTATCCTACTATGTGAGCGAACCAACCAATCTAACCCCAATCGTTTACCAATAATAACAGAAAATAATGCGGAAGACTTAAACTCATTAATGAAAATCAATTAAATAACTTCTAAAAACTCAAAGACATTTATTATCCCAAAAATCTGAAATTCATCATCACAAGAACATCTATCCTCAAATTACTAATCTAAGAGTATCTAAGAAGCTAAAATACATAAAAATCTAGTCCATGACGAAACTTCAAGGCATCAAGACATGAAGAGGAAGATCCAGTCCAAGCTAGAAGCATTAGCTCACCCTAAAATCCGGAGTAATGAAGACTGGCTAGAGTTGCGGTTGGGTTGAAGACGACGGCACGTTTGCTGCACTCCACAAATAATCAAAAAGGAAACATACAAGTAGGGATCAGTACAAAACACAGGTACTGAGTAGATATCATCGGCCAACTCAAAATAGAAAACAATATATATCAGATAATATCATAAAATCAACTACAGTACTCAACATGTGGCATTTACAATTACCATACCCTTGGTCCCAACACCAAGCTCATCAATGAGGACTCACGCCTACCCATCATACTCATTTGGGAATTAAGTTCATTAAATTGAGTATATTAACATATTCCAAGATTCATTCTCTTTACTAATCCTGGTGTTGGAACGTGACACCCGATCCATATATACTATCCTGGTACCAGAACGTGGCACCCGATCCATATTCTATCCTGGTGTCGGAACGTGACACTTCGATCCTC